ATAAAGCAGCAGCTCTTTTAAATTCAACATTCTTTCTGTTTATTATACGATATAACTTTTGTGTAACCAATAGTCAATTACGATTCCAGCGTCTCGAAACAACGTGTCGGGTGTGGTACACGTTCATCTGGCTGCTTCAGAAGATGGTCGAAGTGCCCTGGTAGAGGCGGCACGAGTTCTGTATCGTAATGGAACGACTGATGTCACCATTTCGAATGTCGACCAACTTCTTCGAGGTGAATAGTTTCCTAATTCTTTGGAACAAACAGGTTTTTTTTAAAGCCAAAGATATACTTCAGAGATCTAAATCAAATTTGATGTAAAGAAAACCGAAGATATTGGTGATGATACCGGGAAATGTTGTTGAATAGGAATTGCTAAGAATATATCAAAATACCTTTGATATTAGGGTGTATTGCCACTGCATTCCACCGTGGAAGTTCAAACAATGTTTAAATTACACGAAATGAAAGCTGGTACTCTCGTTTAAGGCTTAGTACCAACTAAGAATTTCAGCTATAAGGGCTGCGCTGGTCTGTTGTCTAAATAAAGTTGTTAGCATGTCGAATTTTTTAAGCCTTTGACCGTTTAAAGGTAAAAACTTCAACTCATGTTACATTGTTATTTTACTTTTAAATTTTCTAAATTTAATTGATTTGTGCAATTCCCCTTGAAACAATGACATTGCATGTTTCTTCTTTAGTTCGTACAGATTGGCCAGAGCCAGACCTTCTCATCCGGTGCGGAGGTGTGCATTCGCATCTTGGATTCTTGCCTTGGGCGTTGCGACTTACTGAGTTTGCAGATCTCTACTCTCACAAATATCTCCTTCCGTCAGAGTTTCGGGATTTGTTATACAAATTCGCAAAAATAGATAGAAGATTCGGGAGATAGATTTGTTATTAATATACAAATATAAAATTAAATGTGATCTACGAAGAAAATTAAGTGAACACAGCTACCCTATGAGAGCAAATTGTCTGGTCGCTAGTAATAAATGTATTTTTATTGGTTATTTAGCTCAATTTATACCGTGTAGGTCTTTATGAGGATGCACTAAGCGGATCGTGAAGTTTCCTGGGCATAAGGTAGTGTTTGCTCATTCTGTACAGATAAATGAGTAACCACCAATAAGCTATTTAGCAGTGGTGTTTTTATTATTATTATTATATGAACTTCAAGCAGGTGACTGTTGACAATGTGGCATCGATTATTACTATCTATTTTATTCATTCAATAACCAACCGTCGCAGTATATTGTATGCAAGACTTGCTCCACTGTATGTAAGTTGAACTAATAAAAAAAATATTAGATTTTCGCGAATAAATGTTTAATAAAAAAAACAATGTTGAGCTACGATTGGATTACTTGTAACCATCATATTTATTATATACACATCCAATCATTCATTATACGATATATATGTTTGGAAACTATACCGAATGTGTTTACAGCAGGTTTAATCTCAAATCATGCGCATACGTATTGACTATAATCTTATTGCAGTGTTCTTTGTCAAATATTCAGCATGCTGCATTGGTTGTTATCGATTAACGAGTTACAGAAATTTTGCCTAATGTACAATGCGCATTAGGTCGATGGCCTTTTATAGGGGAAAAATATAGCCAGATCTTCTAGACATTATCTAAAACTAACTGTAAATTGGATATTGATTTGCAGCCTTACAAATGGACGGATCCGTAAGTAATTGGCATTACGCAAATTTAGACACGTCAATGATTTTTAGTAATCTTCATTAACTTGTTGTTCTTGCGTGATGAGCAAGACAAGCTGAACGTTAAATACTATTAAGAGCTACGACCGGGATTGAGCTCGAAACAGAAGAAAAAAGCTTTGGACGTATCGTGTGGTGAGAAAACTCAATTTAAGTTGTAGCAATCACTTCGAAAATGCTTACAGGAAGGAAATAATTATTTTGTTACATAGAAAAATAGTAGTAATCATGTAATTTGTTAGATTAGGCTGTTATCAGTCTCCATGTAATTGTGCTACATAACACAAATCGCACGCGATCTTTCCTGAATTATTTGCATGAGTCAAGTATGTTTTCACTGTTTATCAATTATTATACAAAGTTTCCGTTTTGTTCAGGATTTATGAGATCTCCTGCGGAAAACGGTGCTGCTAGTCTGCACTTGATAATAGAATTGACGCGTGTGAGTCGAATACGTAATATTTGATTTATATCTAGCATTGGTAAGAACTTGCTAAACTCAAACGTCCCGTTGATATTGGTGGCGTTATCCACAATTCTACAAATTGATAGATAACTTTAACAGATAAATAGATTGAAGTAGTATCTGTGGATAAGAAGTTTACATCGACAAACAATTTTAGTACATAAATCTCGATGTATGTAAATCTTGTTATAAGTTACACTTGTTATTAATTTATTTGTTAATAAAGCACTTCTAAATTTTGTTGGTATAGCGCAAATATAACATTTAAACAAGGAAAGTTTGATTCTATAAGCTCTCAACAATTTTATCTCAAAATTTCATATGACTTGAAGAAATAAGGATGTGTGTTTATAGCCACGAGTCCTATAGTTTGGGCTAGATGGTCCATTAAACGCTAACTAAAGTCAATGTATACCATGGTGAAAAAATACGACATGTTTATGTGTGCTATCAATTAAAATTGTGTTTAAAAAAGATGAAATGCGGTGCTTCCTTCCAGTTGACAAGGATGCTAAGCACTACCTATTTGTCCTTGATTATTGGCATTGTAATGGGTTGCCTCTAATAACAATAACGAAAAGCTTCCAATAACAGTAAATAATATATGCCACCTATTTCTAGGTTCAACCTTTATTCTTCATGTATCACCTTTAGGGTACGAAAGTAGCTTGGCACCTAAGCATACTTGAGAGACTTAAGAAATATGAAGATCTCGAATTCTTTCAAAACGTTCTGTAGTCCGTAAGGCATCTAGCTTATTTTGGGATTACAGTTTTCGAAATGATGAAGGGTCTTCTTTAAACAAACATCGATATCGTCTGCGATAAATTGAAAACAGACTTCGAGGAAAGACAGTGGATTTTTTAGGTCGCTCTAGCAAAGTTCATCTTCTGCTAAGTGTATCTAGCATTTTTTTTAGTTAAAGGAAGTTACGCAGCGATGGTGCTTCTTTTCGAACTTCAATAAAACTACTCTTTCATCAAGGTGCGTGTTGGAGATCAACAAATTATTTCCTCTAAGATATAGTTGATCCTTGGGTCTGCATGTGCAAGATACTATGTGTCCTTCCTGCCCTTGCCTTCTCGCGGGTCTACTTATTTTCTTGGTTTCTTATAAACCTGTTCATTTTGGTTTTTCTTTAGCGACAGGTGTAGTCTAAATGCATGCTTACTAGTGTGTACCTGTTTTGGAGCAGTATGTACGTTTTGATCTAGTTCGCCAATGAACGTGGTTAGCTCGCCGTACATAATGTTGATACTGTCGTAGCGAATGAAGAATGTTTCGAGGTTTGTTTAGCTGAGTTACGTCAAACAAGCTATGTTTTGGCAGCCTTTACAACAAATGGGAGTGAAGATTCTAAAAATTTTCTAGCTAGGAAAATAACTAAACGGGATTCTCTCTGAAAATTTTTCATTGTTTTTAGATCTAACAACGGCTATTAGCAAAAAATAAAGATCATTTACGATAGGTCTCTCTACTCAGCAAGTATATCACCTTTGATGAGTTCAACAAATGTTGGGTTTCGTGTGACAAGTCAAATATTTACAAAAGAAATATACCTTTAAACTCATGTGCCACGCGCTGCTAAAATGCACAGGTGTTAAAATCAAGAAACACATAAATGCAATATTATGTTACAAAATGAATGCTATAAGTACGTAAAATCCTTCATGAATTTTCAGTGTCAGAAAAAATCACTATTTTTTGTTTGCGTACGATTGCGCGCGCGAGGCTGCTTCATCAATTACTCTCTAAAATTATCTTCTAAAAAGCAAAATGTTTTGGTTACCAAGGTTCATTTAACAAATAATATAGTTCTATTGTGCACTCGTTGAAAAATACAAAGAATGTAAAGCGCGCTGGGTTGTTTACCAACCACTCGGACCAAATTATGTAGGATAAAGCAAAAGCGATATGTGCGACTATAAGGAAACTCTCTATTTTATTTCCCACAAACAAAGACTGTGATAGCGATACAAAGTTAGGATACGAAAAAATCATAACAATTATAATAGTTTACACACATAGCATTGTATGAAGAAAATCCGTAGACTTAGTTAGCGGTAATTAGATATGCCACATGGATCTTAACTATGAGTGATAGTGATCGTGTATCGTATTAAATTGTATCACGAAAGTTCCAGTCGAAGGCAACGTGCAGACTCTACAATTAGAGTATAGTTCTACAACGAGTCATAAGAAAAATACTCACAGAACAATCACTGGGATGTGAATACTACTCCGCAATAATGTTACGACACTGATGAATGTCACGAATAAGATAAATGATGATAAATGATTAATCCAATGGACGTTGTTATTTTTGTCCTTTTAAAAAAAACCCGTCTACTTATACATCTTTTGTTGAACATAGTTGATGTCTAAATACTTGGTAATCTCAAAAACGTTTTGGGAACAAGATTATAAATGTATTGTTATCCATACACCATTTACTTTTTTACAAGTGCCCCTTGATTTCTTCTGTTAGAATTGTGGTAAAGAACAAAGACCGGACAGAAAAACTGAGATTCGAAATTATCTCTTCGAATTTACTTATATACACCAAATTTAACGGACGATGACTGGATTTAAACTTTTAATAAAACTATCATACATTTTCCAGTTAAATTCATTATTTTAGCAATCATCCACAGAGGTGAGACGTCGCGTATTTCACCATCATTAATGACATATATTAATGTTGCTAGAACAAATTATTCTTTAGTGATCTCACTATTAATTGTGGGTATGTTAATAAATACACGTCATTGTTCCATATATGTACCATGTATCATCAAATTTATTTTCAGTCCACAACAAACATTTTCAATAAGGTATAATGTCATGTGAAAAACGAGTTATTCTTACCAAAATACAGCGTAAGTACAATTTACAGGAAATTTCATCAAAATCTTCACGCTTATTAATAAATTGGTTTTCACAGCTATAATAATTTAATGGCTGATTTATTTTTGTGACAAGATCTAAAGTTTTGCCAGCTCAAAAATGTCTGTATGATTTACTTCCAATAGACTACTTCCATTCGTTAAAAGATATCAGTAAATATCGCTGCAAATCCAGACACGAGTATCATTCATTCGTTTTTTTGATATCTGTCGTTGCCGTTCTAATGCCGTGTCTCGTTTATGCGAAGGACCTATTTTTGCCGTACAATTGCATAAAATATAATGTTAAAAATAGCTTTTGTGTCATACTTTGCATACAGAATAGTCATGAGTACGTTGATCGGTTTTAATACGTTATAGTCACGCTAACTCCATTAGCTCTTTTCCTGAGGACTGGTATGCAATGATCTAATTTGACTGGCATCGGATGTCGTAATTGTCACATACGATAATCACTGGCATGTTTCTGTCATTGATGCCTCTATCGCGATTGTTCGATTCAAGGGGTGGTATTTATGCTGCACAAAGTGGGAGCTTCAAAAGTAGTACTGGACAGTCCTTCAGAGGAACCGTTTCAACATGCTGTACATACACATATGACTTAGATAGTCTAGATGGATAATATTTTAGGTAGGTAGCGTCTTCGCTATGCTCCAATCCAGATTTCAATAAGATACAAATTTATTGTTCACTTATAGCCACGTGTAGAACTATCTGCCGGCGTCAGCCATAAATTGGGTCCACCCGTGGCTTATCGTGCACACACAACGTTAAATACCAAACATTCTAGACTATCTATTTAAGGCAATGGTATCTATCAAACGCCGTCCAAAATCCAAAGGCGTTTATATGCATGAGGCGCTACCAGTCATGTGGGAATAGTAGCTAACTAATATTTGGTGTTGTTTACAGTCAGCAAGTGTTCCTTGTACTCGGCTTTATTGAATCAGCATCATGTGATATCCAATGAGAAGGGTTAAAACGATTTCTATATTACTCTCGTTTTGTCGTTCTTTTCTCAACTTAATACACTTTATTCTCTAGGAAACACGCATCCACGGACACATGCGCTTAGACGCATGTTGCGTACTTGTCGTAACACGTATGTTTAACACATTAAATATGAATACATGATCGCGTCAGTATTAATACAAATATCTAAACATGTTTGAATGAAACTCTCGGCGTGGCATAGAAGCAACGCCTTCGTAAATTTATTCGTCACATATCTTGTAAAATGCATACATACGATGAACTAACAACGTTGGTTCATATGCTTAACTATTCCCTTGCTTCACAAATTAATTAAATCTCATACATAAATTGTCTAAAAAATAACATGTTAAAGAAAACATGCAGCCAAATAAATTTTTCTGTCAATTCTCGGTTCATTTTCATGGCTAATAAATTAACCATATATCAAGGTCAAACATGTACTTTGAGGTGGATCGTTCAAAAAGTTATAGCATTCTTGCTTAATTTCTACGCTTCAGATGTCATATACATTTATAACAGTTATTCTTCTGCTGTCGTGCAAAGCTCTGGGTATAGATCTTCAGTTCCTTTTAAAAAGCCTTTTTGTCTGAGCATGATGAATTATATGCTATATAATATTGCGTCACACGGCACCGGTTGCTTCTGCTGAAATCTCTAATTCTGTCACATGTACATTACAAGGTAAGATTCTATTCATTGCACCAGCAAAGCGTTGCTCACCGACCTTGGGTGACTAGCTGATCAACAACAATATGCTTATGGAAAATGTGTGTCCTAGTCAGCAGAATCGGTCTTACTCTGCAAATAGTGGCTAAGGGAGATTTCGATTTGTGACAAAGAAGGCTTCGGTAGAGTTAGCGGGAATGAATTTCATCGCTGAATGAAAATAGTACTGAAACCCTGACGCCAAACTGCATACAACGTATCCATTAACAATTCATCAACTCTTCTAAGAATCAAGATTACACCTCTGGCGCTAATATAGATGAGATACGTAAAAAAACACCGCATACATAATCCTTATATTCCGTATCAATTTGCCTATCCGCGCAGAACAGACGCGAAACAATGCCCGCAAACGACGCATCAGACATCTACAATAACGTTAATTTTGAAATCTTAGATATAAACCTTAAGTAATACACCAACAGACATTTGTGTGATTGCAATTCACCAGGCTTAAAAGCTTGGTTCAGAAGCATTTTGGGTCTGTGAGCTCAATTACTTTGCTGTTGCCAACAGTTCCTGTGTATCGTCTGGCGAGCTCACCATCTGGCGATCAGATAGCCGATCGATAAATAGACAAACTGAATACTCATTAGAGTTGAACAGCCCTAGAAAATACAGAGCTTGAATTTTGCATGTGAAAAAGGCAAAAGTAAAATTTCAGGCGCTGATCTAATGTTCTATACTACGGCGTTTTTATTGTTACTGGTTACTCACTCAGCAACCCTAATTTTCAAGACATCATTTAATGTTATACTGGTGGCTTGTTTCGTATCACCCTAGATTACTGCAAAGCTATGTACATTCGTAGAAAGTCATGTTCGAGCGAAAAAATAGAGTTGATAGTACAATCTGCAAATCTTGTTCTCAATAAGGTGGTGCCCTTCGACGAGGAAATGAGTCCTAGAATGTCACATAAAAGGTTGTTTAGATCAGACACATCGTTTCTATGAGAACACGAGAAAACTGTGATGAACTAAAAAACTAAACTGGCGTTTTTTTGTCATAACCTCTACTAAGTTCAATGCCAGCCTTTATCATCGCTACAGTAACAAACGTGCCATAATTAGGCTTCGCGCTTCTAAACAGATAACAGATGTTGTTTGTGTGTGTGCATTCTGTACAGATTTGCTTTGTCTCATTATTTTGCTGGTTTCACAATGGAAGCTTGCCTATTTGGATTAAGCTAAGTAAAGTTTAGATTGACGTGTGACATGCCGCACAATATTAAGCATGTTGCCGTAGAAGAGGACACCACAAAGTTAGCTGGGCAGTGTCATTATAGTGGCAGTGTCATTTGCTTCCACTGAAAGCACTTATACGTTGCCTGCAGGGTTCGTCTTCCCACAGCGAAACATGCGCGTTCGAAACAACAGCGTTCTTAATAAAATATTAATATTGTATGTTGTGAATGTGTACAGATGAGCGATAGTAGACGGCTTAACTTAGCAGTCTCTACCAGTTTTTCCATATGTAGAATGCTATTCCAGCTGTGATGGCCACTCCTGTAGTTACCATAATAGCTTTGGGAAGAAAGTTTAATAAAACGTTTTCCCAACCACCATGCTCACGGACCCAAGCACAGACGCGGTCACAAAAAAACTCCCAAACCCAGCCGAGAATCTCCCACCGAATTCCACCACCTTCTTGAGTATCTCGCATTGCCTGTTGACCAAAGACAAAACGAAGCTCGAAAGTGTGAACATGTGTACCATTCGTGTACTACTCTATGGTTTGCCGACTTATTTGTACAAACTGTCCTTATTCTTAGTTGTGTACGCTTTTAGTGCATTGCACCTTCATTTCACATTTCTTTTTCTTTTTTTTTTTTATCATGTTATCGGTTATCTTCAGTTTAGAGTCGGAAAATATTCAATAAAAATGAAATATTATTTAATAAAGTCAGTCAAACAAGTTAATAATACATGAAAAAAATGACTTTTTTAACTTGCATATGCTAGGTTCGATGTGAGATCGTATAGCATTTCGACGCGTTTTACCTTGATGATAAGATCGGAACAGAAAAAGAACAGTGTAACCAGCCGTTCTCTAGAGAATCCGTCGTGAAACAGTTCAGTCATGAGAGCTATCAGATTTTCTCTTGTGACCGTGTTCATGCTGAGTGCTTCAGCCTGCTGCTTGACTCGTTGACGTTCCCGTGACCTGGCGAACTCATCAGCCAATCGGGAAAGTTGACGACCAGCGTCGCGATACATTGGGTGGGAGCGAAGAACCTCCTCTGGCGATGGAATAGGCTCAGACGTAGGCCCTGATAAATGGGAGTAGACTAACCTAGCTGGATCCTTGAAAGTCATGATAGAACAAAAAATCTAAGTCATATAACGTGCGTAAGTTTTCGTACGACGATTAGATAAGACAGGCAATCGATTACACAAAAAATTGATTAATTATGTAGCAGGCGAAATTAGCAAAGCAATGAATACGAATAACAATTTTAGCGAATTAGGTGCGCATAGAAGCCCCAGGGTTCATTATAGGAATAAAGAAGGTCGTTGATTACTTCACGGAATATCGGTAATGTAAGTTTCTTTAAAGAGACAATGATTGAAAGCAAACTCTTAATATATATAGCCAGTATAAGTTGAATACAGAAGGGACACAACTTTACAGATTTTACTTTAAAAAAATGTTTCATGTATAGGCATGCGCAGACACACATAACAGTTCAACCTTCATATTTGTTAGGAAAATATGTTACATACATATAAGCAGTGTCAATACCTATACAATTACGGCAAACCGGAACAATCTCCCGCGTGCGTTCTATCTATGAAGGACGGGACACATACAACAATTCTATGCGGTCGCCCTTGGGAGTATTTGTTCCTAGGTTGTGTCGACATGAAAGTGGAATCTAGATGTGAACTGGGGCATGAAAAGGGTTCGTTTGACGAATACGAGGGTGCAGTTCGACTGAGCTCATTTGCAGCGAACCAATTATCAGTGCTAGAGCCTTTTCCATTGTTGTAGTTATTTTGCAGTTCAGCACCAAATACCTCCTCTTCCTCGTTTTCCGGGCTCTCGATAACAACGTGGTTTCTTTCGATTTCCTGCGACACGAAATCTCTCAAGAGCAAGCGGCCTTCTTGCTCTGTATCTTCCTGGCTTGGATTGGAGCTGAACATGGGCCTTATAGGAAGGGCCATCTGAGCGAACGTTATGTTTTGAAACATAGCTGGAAGTGCACGTCGTAGGTTTGCTTCGTCCTGAAAATAAAGCCAACTCATATGACATACTCATTGACATGAATAACATAGGAATTTTTAAGGTTCAAATCATGTTTATATCGTCGAAAGATTAGATACAAATTTCGTCAGTGTGAGACACTATTAAAAATGGTCATGTCACTACTGCACACGTCCATTCACTGCACGACTACGTCAGACTTTGTGAACGCAATCTTGAGAAGGTTTGTAATAATATACCATGCGTTTCTGTCTCGACCATTTGCCGCATTCATTTGGAGCCAGATAATTCGAGCAAATTTGATGCCCTTATCTTTGTGTGTATCTTGTGATAACTTTTAACTATCTATGAAGTGGTAGATCTGTAAATTCAAATAAACATCTGCAAAATTAAACAAGTAGAACTTTCCTTATTCCTTAACAGATTAGAACGTTAATGCTTTTGAAAACTGGTAATATATAGGCATTATATATTATTATTTTTATAGACTAGTACAAATTATCCAAGTGTTTCGTACATGCTTCATTATCTTCTTAAATAGTTTCGAAAAGCATTTATAGGTATAAAACAGAATGTATTCAATCCATTATTATCCGATGATGCATAACCGACGTTCAATCTATAAAAGCATAGCAGTGACTGAGAGTTACGCTAGGGAAGAGCAACAAATCAATCTTTCAAATGCGTTCGTGTAGATAAATAGATGTAAAGAAAGATGCAGGTGTTGTTCTCTACCGAAGCCACGTTTGTTTTCTACGAGAATTAGTGGCATGATGATGAAAAAGCACATAATAAGGCAACAATTCTTCTGGAAAAAATGGACCACTTTGTACGGGAAGCAACGACTGCTGGGGCCGAGGGAAAACTGCAGTTTCAAAAACTTTCGGGAACAGACGTCTGACTGCTGCAGCGTTTTTCAATGCCCATACATCATGAGCTCCTATTATTATGCAATTAGGAGCTCCAATAGAATTGTGATAAATTTTGTTGTTATCACTAAAAATATTGATACGATATGCAGAAAAAACAAGATAAAAAAAAACTACTAAAAACAACAAATATTTGAGCTCAGAACTTCCTGTGTTATAAAGGTATGACTAACAGTTGCTCGTTTTTTCTCGAGGGAGATCCGATGATCAAGTAAAACTGCGAACGAGGCTGATGCTCGTCACGGGTGAATTCTAATATGTTACTGCTCTAGCCTGAGCATTCTACGTTCGGTCTTGGGTCTCTCTTAAGACCGAACGTAGAATTGTCCCATATTCCTCTCTCTCTCTCTCTCTGTTTAAAGAAACCCATACAATTGTGATGAAGCGGGACTACGGGTAAACTTCCGATCTTTTCATCTTTGTTACCGACCAACACCTGATTCACCGTTATTCCTTTGTAACCAACAATCGCAGAAGCATGAGAAGCTGTCACAAACGTGCACGCGCCATACACAAGTGTGGGTTCAGAATAGGCTCCAACGTCGTATCGCGTCCCAATAAAAGTGCGAGAGTTCGTTGAACAGAATCGACTAACAAATTGCGCATCATTTTTTAATATAATGAGTCATCTTAACATATTACCGAAGCCGACTAGCTCTCGTAAAGGCTAATCTTTTCAGAATCGAAGTACTTTAAATCAAACAGTACTACCTTTCTTACAAAGCCTTGTTTCCGTCAATAGATATAAAACCGTAGTAGCTCAATTGCATATTAGAAAATTTCATGATTTTCAAACATCGATGAGGACATGGCTGTTACATTGGTAAGTCATTGGTAAAAGAAGTGGGCCGATCTATAAATGTGGCCGCAAACGCTTCCATTGAACTGTTCGACTCGAAAAAAGTGATATTCAATATATATATATATATATATATATATATATATATATATATTGTTCGCTCGGTCGAGGCTGTAATAAGTAGGCAGCCCCTGGTTAATTTTACATCATCAGACACACGAATGCATCATCATACTCCGCCATCATGTCCTCTTTCAATTGCCATCAAGATTTTTCCTGAAGATAGCGCGTTGACTGAAGCTGAGACGACAAACTATTGTAGGCTCAAGAATATTTGCCGCGCTCAATATAAGGATAATACGCGTGAAACTCAAACATATTAATATGATATATTGCTGGCTTTCGGCCTATTAATACCCGTCTTTGGTATTTCGAACTTGTATGTACCATTTTGTAGTTTCGTGAAATTTCTATTAATTTCGTTCATCTATGTATTGACCGCCACTTAAGGGTATGTTTCACAGGAGATGGACATAATCTAAAATCCAAGCGGTACGACATTTTCGGTATGTTTATAGCCGCTACTGGACCTAGACAGGCAAAGTATACGACTTTAAGTGGTGTTAATTGATTAGGGTCCCGTATCTCGATACAGGTACAACAAATCTTTTCTGAAGGATTGCTGTAGCTATACGACGAAGTTTAAGAAAATAATTAGTAAGAGAACGCAAATAGGAACACATTATTAAAGTTTATCTTCATAGCACGTTAAGTTTGTATCTTAGATATACTTGCATTATACTAGAGGAAAAAATATTTTAAGAAATAGTTTCTTTTTGCGGTTTCTCAGAAACGTCAGATGTTTGTAAAGATTTTTTTGCAGCAGTTGTGGAAGAACACGCATTCCAATTGAAGTGTAGGGGATGTAGTGTTAGAATGACCTCAGTTACCTTGAAGCTCTAAGAAGAGCCAGATTGAGTTCGATTATAAGTTAAATATATTTGACTTCGAGCCTGAGTCTTCGCGTGACCCTTGTAAAAATTATAACGTATTCATAAAAATGTTGAGACATTATTATTATACAAGTTAACCAAACAGACAACATTTGTAAAAAAAAAATCACTTATGCTGCTGCGTATAAACTACAAAGATGCTAAATCTAGCCCAGAAAACAACAAACCCTCTCCTTGGCATTTACAGGAAGGAAAGTCGATTTTCTCTTATTTTGGCCAAAAAAGACTTAAGTACTCATATGAAGTAAGCCTAGTTTAATTACAACACAAAAGCAAGTTTACAATAGAGACATGCCGCAAGATGTAAAAGGATGTCAAGACCCGACGAACTAAAAAAACTCAATTTAAGCTAAGTCGTACCCATAATTAGGACCGTAGATTGGTCTAAGGGTTTTTCACAAAGCATCATGATGGAGTTTTTCTTAGGGCCGTAAGCTTCTGTCTCACTAGGCTTTGATTTACCTCAAACTAAAAAAAAAATCAAGCTAATTGATTTATTTCTTGTTATTCGAAACGTGAAGTAAAGAAATTCGCATGGAACGAATCAGCAATGTATTATACTTGTACAGAATTTTTGTAAGATCTGTACATAGATATCATTTGTGTGCATGCTTAATGAATATGACCCAGATAATATCAGTTAACGTTATTTATACTGCGATTGTCTGAGATGTTGACTTTAAGCGCAAGCGGGTGATAGGTGAGTCTGGTTGGCGTCTTTAAGCTCTGAACAAAAGACAATAGGAAGGCACCAATGCACTGTCATGTTATTCATGTCTACTAGTGGCTTCATCATCGTAGGTCGAATATATTCCCTGGCGAGATATGTAACTTCAACAAGCGTATCGTTTTATTTTTTGCACTATTTCTCTAATTCGCTAGAGATTTTCAACGGATGTAAAATATACTCTCTGGTTGCTGTATGGCAACTATAATTTTTTGAGGTGTGGAGATCAATTATACAGTAAACACATGAACGTGTAGACCTCACCTCTCTCATAATTTGCCTGATATTAACACTGATGCATATTTATCTCGATAAGGATTGCTGTTTAATTAACAACTAAAAAAAGGATAAACGAGCAATTTTGCTGGGTATTTACTTACATAGCAATTCACTATAGTTATGATAACTTAATTGGAAGCAATGAAGGCGTATCGTCAGGTCATTTCATATTAAAAAATTGAAAGTGAAAAAGGTAATCTCTGCCTATCTTTGACGATTCAATTGAAACCATATAATGGCCGATATTGAACAAAGTTTTATCTTCTCGTTATATCAGTCTGTGTGAAATATATTGTCTCACGCTAATGACAGTTATGAAAGATAATATTTCTAATTTACCCTACAACCAACCAATTTGAGTTTCCCAATAACTTAGCGCTAATCAACTAGACTGAGTTTGGCGGTCATATTTAATTTTCGGATTATCGTCTAATTTTGCAGTTTACGCATCTTTTCAAAATGATACGTTCTCTGGATGAACGAATAAATAACTACAGCAAGGCCACAGGTGAGCGTATTCTTAATATCTAACTAACAGTTTTGGCAGAATTGCAAAAAAGGTTAGTTAGGTAGCAAGGAAAGTACGAGTTTACAAACGCTATAGAAAAAAACAACCTATACGAAACTTCTTCTGTAAGATTAGAATAAGCCGCCCAGCGGTTAAAGGCCAAGCTACCTTGCTTCACTTGAAAGCTTTGTATGCGAATACGCGTTTATAATAGAATATTCGAAAACTCGAAAAAAACTACTCATAGTTATTTCGATCCGTGTTTCTCATAT